ACCAGTTTATTCTGTTCATTCAATTTCTTATTCATTTATTTTGATTTTTAGATTCAATTGTTGATAGGTATGTATTTGTTGCCATTTTGTTCATATTTTTTATCTTTTTCTTTTTCTTCTTCTTCCTCTTCTTAAAGAATACCCTTCAACATTTCATATAATACTGGTTTGGTGGTGATGAACTCCTTTAGCTTTTTCTTGTCTGTGAAGCTTTTTATCTGACCTTCAATTCTAAATGATAGCTTTTCTGGATAGAGTAATCTTGGTTGTAGGTTCTTGTTATTCATCACTTTCAATATTTCTTGCCACTCTTCTGGCCTGCATAGTTTCTGTTGAGAAATCAGATGACAGTCGTATGGGCATTCTCTTGTAGGTAACTAACTGCTTTTTTTCTTGCTGCTTTTAAGATTCTCTCTTTGTCTTTAGCCCTTGGCATTTTAATTATGATGTGTCTTACTGTGGTCCTCTTTGGTTTTGGATATAGGTTTTCTATATCTTGCTCTCTCTTCTTCTGGCACCCTATAATTCGGATGTTGGTACACTTGAAGTTGTCCCAGAGGCTCCTTACACTATCTTCATGTTTTTGGATTCTTTTTTTCTTTTTGCTCTTCTAGTTGGGTGTTTTTTGCTTCCTCATATTTCAAATCGTTGATTTGATTCTTAGAATCCTCTACTCTATTGTTGAATCCCTGTATATTATTCTTTATTTCAGTCAGTGTATGCTTAATTTCAGACTGGTCCTTTTCCATTTTTTTTGGAGGTTTCTAGAAGATTCTTGAGTAACCTTATAACCATGGTTTTGAACTCTCTATCCAGTAGTTTGCTTTCTTCCATTTCTTTCATTTGTGACATGTTTCTTTGTCTCCGCATTTTGGCTGCTTCTCTGTGTTTGTTTCTATGTATTGGGTAGAGCTGCTATGTCTCCTTGAGTTGGTAGAGTGGCCTTGTGTAATAGGTGTCCTATAGGGCCCAGTGACTCAGCCTCCCCAATCACCTGAGGTGGACACTCTAGGTGCACCCCTTTGTGGGCTGTGAGCATGGTCTTGTTGTAGTTGAGACTTGATTGCTGTTGGTGTCACTGGGGGGAATTGAACTCCAGGCCAATTGGCTGTGGGGACCAGCTGCAACTACAGTGGGAGAGTTGCTGTGCAAGAGACACCCCTGTGGATCAGGATTTGCTTTGATGAGGCTTTGGTACTCACTGAATCTGCCCCTGAGGTGTCGCTTATGGATGTGTAGAGTTGTAATCTGTTATGATCTGACACTGACCACTGAGTACACTGGCTCTTGGGTCTCCAGGGAGGTGCAAAGTCAGCCACTGCCTGGGGCCACCTTCTCTTTGTATCAGGTTTGGAAGTGTCTAGATGAGGCCCAGCTGTGAAGCAAGGTAGGCTGGTGCTGGTGCTGGGTCTTGGGCCTTTTATTGATACAACTGGGGCTCCCTGACCCAGCTGCAACTTGTTTTGAGAGATTTTAGCCTGAGCAGGGACAGGCCATTTATATGCAAAAGCTGCTGCTCACAGCTTGGGTGGGGTTATAAATTGGATGGGGTGGGGTCTCTGGGAATCACCAGAGCGGAGCAAACAGAAACGGCTACCAGTCAGCTCTACAACCAGGGAGATCCCAGCATTGGAACAATGATCCCTGCGAGCATGTCTGTCTGGGAGTAAGCTGCCCCCCAGTTCCTGCCCAGATGCCAGGCAATCCAGTTCCTCCTGGTATGTGTCTGTGTCCCCCAAAGCCTCACCCTGGTGCCACCTTTTAAGAGGAACAGCTCGGTCTCCAGCAGCCTCTGTGTCACTGAGCCCCAGTCCGCACTGGTTTTTACAGCCCTTAGTTCTTACTGCCTGTAGGAACTTCTTTTCCCAGCTGTGGGACCCTGGGCTGGGGGTCTGGTGTGGGGCTGGGCCCCCTTGCTCCTCCAGCCTCAGAGACGATCTCCCTCCTGATTAAAGCAGCACACGTGGGTGCCAGACCAGCCTGTTCCGCATCCCCACACCTCCTACTGGTCTCAGTGTGCTTTCTTCTTGCCTTCTCTAGTTGTAGGACTTCCATTCAGCCAGCTTTCCAGTGGTTCTGGATGATGGTTGTTCTGTATTTTAGTTGTAATTTTGATGTGGTTGTGTGGGAGGCGGTGAGTACAGGCATTTACCTACACCGCCATCTTCCTTGTCTGTCGAAATACAGTGGGACCTTGACTTACGAGTGTCCCGACTAACGAGTGTTTTGAGATACCAGCTGTCTCTGGGCCGATTTTTTGCATTGAGTTGATAGAGTAATTTGAGTTAACGAGCTCCTTAACGAGCTCGGTCTGGGAACGAATTAAACTCATAAGTCAAGGCCCCACTGTATGTGACTTTTAAGGGCCCTTCCATGGTCTAAGCTTCTGCAGGTCAGACTCGGTGTTAGACTTGAACTGCATCCGAGGGAAGGCCAAGAGTTCTGCTCAAACCGTAAACCTCCCTGGCTGGGAGGTGCTCACAGAGTCCCAGAAAGGGGAAGGTCGGGCAAGAGCTGCCCTCCCCTCCAAGGTCACAGCAGAGGTGAGCCAAGAATAGAAGCAAGGCCTCCGACAGAGGCCCTGCCAAGCCTGGTGGGTTCGGGAGGGGGAGTGACTCCAGTTCCCCAAGTGCGGCTTCTCTGGGCCTGTGGACACGCAGCTCTGAAGGAGATGCCAGGGGGTGGGGGGCTCATGGGCTGACTCGTGAGATTCATACATCAGTGCTGACCACCCCTTCCTGAGAGGCTCTGGATTTCCTGGTGCCAGGGTCTGGGAAGCAACCCCTGGGCCTTCCATACTCCGCCTGGGTCTGCTGCTGCAGGCAGGCAGTTACTGGCTAAGGTTTCCTCCAAACACGCCTCTCCCCCTCCACACTCTACCAGCGGTTCTCAACCTGTGGGTCGCGAACAATGAAAATACATCCTGCATATCAGATATTTACACTACGATTCATAACAGTAGCAACATTACAGTGATGAAGTAGCAACGAAAATAATTTTATGGTTGGGGGTCACCACAACATGAGGAACTCTATTAAAGGGTCGCGGCATTAGGAAGGTTGAGAACCTCTGCCGACTGTCCCTGGAGGCTGGATGCCCAAGCTTCTGTCAGTCCTAAAACAAAAGCTAGGAAGCTGGGGTCTTTTTTTTCTCCCCAATTTGGTCTTTTTTTTCTTGAGGGTTTACCTGAGTCCTTGCAGCACATGCCTTAGGAATCCAGCTGTGAGCAGGGAATCCAGCTGCTGGCAACTGGTGGGCATCTGGCTCTGTAACCGGACAATCAAGGGGTCTGGGCTGCCTGTCACTACTTGAGCCAATTAAGCAGAGATGGGGTTGAATCATATATGAGTGTTTATTCCAATGATGCCGGCAGCATGGGAGAGCAGCAGGTCATCCACAAAAATCTGCTCTGCAGCCCCCATAAGCCAGCTGCTTATTTTGGGGAGAAGGACAAAGATTACAGGTTACAGGCATGGGAAAGGAGGCACGGGAGAGTCATGCAGGCTGGGGGTGGGGGAGGTGGCAGAGGCGGGCACCTCTCCCTGGGACCAGATTACAGGCAATAGGGGCTGGGGTTGTAAAGAGCAGGTGTCTCCAGGACTCACTGTTTCAGCCACGAAGTTGTAAATCTTTCCATAGTGACAGGCAGTTCTCGGGACAGGAGGATGGACTGCATTCCGGTGTTAGCCCCCATGTCCCAGGGCATATAACTCCCAGCCAGGTTAGGAATGTGCTTTCTCTAGTCAGAACAGAACCATCATGGTTAACAGAGCATGATTAATATTTCTTATTTTATTTCTTATAACTAATAGCTAGTCCCCAATATTACATTTCTGCCCCTAACAGTTCAAGCCCTGTTTTCAGATGAGGAGCTGTGGTCGGAGGAGCTGAGAGACCGAGACAGGTCTTCATGGCTCCTTCCACCACACCTCGTTTGCTGCCTGTCTCACCTTCTCCAAATAAAGCCTGGTGACCCCACCTCTCACACACCCAACCTCTTCCTCACAAACTCCCCCAGAGCCCAGCCACCAGGCAGGGAGGGCTCGCTGCCCCTGTGCAGCCTGCAGCCCAGTCTCCTTCTCCTTCGGCCGCAGTCCCTCAAGAAGTCTGAGCACTTCCTTGCTCAGCTGCTAAGTGGCAATGAGGGGAGCAGGGAGCCAGAAAAAAAATGCTCTTTTTAGCTGCTTTGCCTCCTGCAGAAGCCAACTGCCAGAATCATCCACTGGGAACATGAGGCTGGCAGGGTGATGACGTGGGGGAAAGGGACCCTGCTTGCAGTGGGAGTCTGTGGGGCTGAGGAAGAGGAAGGAACCCATGAAATGTGCATAGGGTTGAGGCTCCTAAGAGATGCCCTTAGGAGATGGGTAGTGAAGGGGCTAGGGTGGCTTTTTTTTATTATTATCTAACAAGTAGCTCCTAGCAGCCAGGCACTGAACTCAGTGCTAAGGATACAAAGATAAAAGTGCAGAGGCCGCTTTGTGTGTGGACGTGGTGTAGTAAGTGCCGGGATTTAGGTGCTCATGGAGGTGTGGGGAGGGGCATGTGGAGCCGACCCATGTGCAGGATGACTGGTGCCTCAAAGCTGCTTCCCACCCCCGCTGCACATTAGAGCCACGTGGGAGCTTTTACAACCCAAACCTGGGCCACACCCCTGAGCAAGCAGATCAGAATCTCTGGGGCTGGAACCCAGGCATCAGTGGTGGACACGCCAAAGGGAGGCCAAGTGGGGAATGCGAGTTCATGGTCATTTATGTCTTAGGTTTGCAGGGGAATGGGATGGCTAACTGGGTGACTTGTTGGTTGGTTGGTTGGTTTTTAATATTGAGCCTTCTTATTCACTCTTTCTAGAAGTCCTGAGAATTACCTTTCCAATTTGGGTGTGGGTGGGAACAGGAAGGAGGGAGGAGGGGAGGCAGGAGGTGGAGGGGAGAGGAGGAATTGGGCTGTGGCATCTAAGCTCTTAGCAACATTGTCATGAACCACACCTCCCTTACTGCCAGGACCTCCTGCAGAATTCTCCCAATTCCATGTCCGGAGTCTCCAATAACCCCCAGGGGATTGTGGTCCCAGCCTCAGCGCTCCAGCAGAGCAGCATCGCCATGACAACTGTCAACTCACAAGTGGTGTCAGGTTGGTGCAGGGGACCGTGGGGACACCCCTGGGAAGAGAAAAAGTGGCCCCAAGGGGACCACAGGGGTGAGGGGCAGGGCAATGCACAAGTGCCCCTGGAAATGGGAGAGGGGCTCCCCGCTGAGTTTCTTAGCTAGAGTTCTGTAATGTATAGATGGTTAGCACCAAGACTTCATTGTATGGTTTGGAACAAATTTGTGTCAAAGCCTCATGAGCCCCTCAGAGACCAAGCAAGGCTATCGTCCTTTCCCCAACACGTGTCCCATCCTGCCCCTTTCCACAGGGGCTGAGTACCTCCAGAGCAGAAAGTGCCCCCATGAGAGGGGACACAAAAACTGGTTGTCTCCTCAGGTGGAGCCTTATACCAGCCAGTTACCATGGTAACCTCCCAGGGTCAGGTGGTCACCCAAGCAATCCCCCAGGGAGCCATCCAGATCCAGAACACACAGGTGAGTGTGTGTCCCAGTGTGTGCACGTTTGCATGGGTGTGGGGGAGGGCAACCAAGGTCACTTACATCTGGTAGGCACCTCACACAAGTTACTCATTTACTCCCCATTATTCTCCTAAGAGGTAATATCACCCCCACTTTCCAGTTAAGAAGCTGGGTGCTGGAGAGATTTTATCAACTCCTGGGATTTTGCTGCCTCCCGGTTGCATCAAAGGCTCCTGTTTCTGGTCTCCACTTGGAGCCGCCCTGGAGCTCAGTGAGCAGAGGGGCCGGGGTGACCTTTCTGAGCCTCAGAGTTCTTATCCACCCAGCAGGTACTCACAGTCCTACAACCTACAGGCTGCTGTGAGGGCTCACCATGGTAACAGACAGGAAGTCACTTGGAAAACTGTAAACTCCTCCAGAAAGGCTAACTATTGGATGGTTTATGGTTTCCTCTGTCTCTTCTCTCCCCACTCTGCCACATCCCTTCTCCCTCCTTCTCCATTCTGTGAGGTGAAGGGAAAGGTGACCTCCCAGGGCCCTAGAGTGAATTGGGAAGGGGGCTGGCAGCAAGAACCTGCCATCATCACCATGGCAACAGGTCCCTAGCTGCCAGTCTGCCAGGCTGCTGATGCTGACTTTTTCTCCACGTGCCCTGAAGGTTAACCTTGACCTCACTTCCCTCCTGGACAATGAGGATAAGAAGTCCAAGAACAAGCGAGGAGTCTTGCCCAAGCACGCCACCAATATCATGCGTTCTTGGCTCTTCCAGCATCTCATGGTGAGTGTGTGTGCACTGACGGGTGTGTGGGTGCAGCGGCACCCCCAGGTCCACAGAGGGCGTGGCCTCAGAGAGAGGCTCTCTGATTGGGTATCATCTTCCAGACCCAGGTCAGAGGGAGGCTCCCGCAGGAACTCAAGCTAAGAGACTATCCCTAGTGCTTGCTGCTGCTGCCTCAGAAAAAGGCTGAGAGGGTGTGGGACAGACATATTCTGACTTAAGTACTGGGAGTGTTCGGAACTGTTTCGTGAACAGAGTGAGATTCTGTGGGGCCCGGGCTGAGCTTCCTGGTCCAGAGCCCTCCTCCCAGGCAGCACGCTCACTCTGCCCTTCTCTTAAGGGGCAAATGTTAATTCTCTGCTCTTCTGGGTCCCGGAGTCCCCACCGCCGGGGAAGCTGAGGTGTGTGTCTCCCTTCTGCTTGGAGCCCCGGCTGAGGCACAGTGCGGGGGGCTGTGGGCTCTGGGGGGGCACAGGCTGAAGTCCCGGCTTCCTCACGTGTCCAGCTCAGCTCTGTGATACAGAGCAAAGGCTTTCATAAGCCTCACGGCCACTTTCGTGAAATGGAGGCAGAGCCTTGGGTTTAACTGTGTGTTTGTAAAGTGCCCAATGTGTGCACCGAGGTGGAGCTGTGTGCTTGCAGGGCTCATTGTAATAGCGGCTTCGGTTGACTGTCAGGAATTACTTCCATGACTTTAGCCCCTAACGCCATCCCAGAGCTGTCGATACAAAGACCAGTGACTGTCTGGGCTGAGTGTGAGAGTGTGTGTGTGCGTGCGTGTGTGTGTGTGAGTGTCTGTGTGGGTCCAGGGTGGAGTCTGTGAACATGGATGGGCTCCCAGCAGTCTGGAAGTGTGGCCTGCCAGGACATAGACACACAGATACAGGACAAACAGCAAAGTTGGGACTAGAATTATAGACATAATTTGGCCTGTGAAGTGTGGGAAGAACCAGGAGTAAGGAAGCTCTTTCTCAATCAAATGGAATCAATCAATCCTTCCATCAAGGCACAGTTCTTCATTGAAATGGGAGGGCCTCCAAAGCCATGAGCCTGGGCCTGGCTCTCAGATGCGGGGCTCCAAGGACCTGCCTCAGAAGGGAGTGTGCATCCCAGGGCCAAGAAAACTGCCCTGGGGGCTCACTGTGGGGCTGGGGCTTGGCATCTCCTCACACATCCCCCTCCCCCTGCTCCAGGGACTTGGGGCCCCCAGACGTTTGCTGAGGGAATACAGTCTGAAAACACCCCAGGGAACAAATAGAAACCTACTTTGGAGAGAAGGGGGTGAACAGCTGAGAATTAAGGTGAGAAGAGGTTGGAACGACGACCAGGGCCAGGGCCAGCCCAGGTCTCCCGGGAGCAGCCCTGACGGGAGCTGGAGCTCACGGCGATGGTGGGGCACAAGGTCGGCCTGCCCTGGTGTCGCGCTGCCAGAGGCTGTCTGCAGCCTTGTGCTGTGGGAGGTAGGACTGCAGGGCCCAGGGTGTGGCAGAAGCTCACGGGCCAAACCTGAGCTCAGATCGAGGCCTCAGCTCTTGCTGTCACCTGGCCACGCCCACCTCTGTGCAGGTGATGATGAAGCAATGGAAGCATTGCTGAGACCCTAGCCACTGTGGTGCTTTATGATGTCAGTTCCCCTTCTCTCCTTCCTCGCCTCCCATCCCCATGCATTTTGAAGACGGATGTGAACATACCTACAAACTCACTTCTGAGGGGGAGAAAAGGCAGGTGTAGGAGGGAGAGGAGGCTGCAATGCAGATTTCCCTGCACAGAGCCCATGCATCCAGGCCAGCACCGCTCGGGGACTCCCATCACCCACTGTGGGCACCTCCTCAGCCACCTGCCACTCTGCAGCTCATGAGACTGGAGGGCCATCTTCTGAGTCCCTCCTGGCTGGGCCTCCCCTCTGACCTCAGTCCATGTCCTACCCTCTCACCCCTCCCTGCTGAGCCTCCTCTTTAGTTCACGGTCTTTTCTTTCCATTTCCACCAGATGGGATAGCAGAGGAAGGTCAAGGTGGAAAGGGAGAGGGTGCTCTGCACACAAAGCAGAAGGGAGGAGGAACCGGGGGTGGGGGTGGGGCTCCCCCAAAGGGACCTGGGACAGTGGGAGGACTTGTTGAAAAACATGAGTAAGCTTTTTCTGCCCACACCCTCCCACACCCTGGACTCTCTCCAGCGCAGAGTGCACACAAGCGCAGGTGCTATTAATAAAGCACTTAACCCTGGCAAAGTCCTCCCCCGTTAATGCCTCCTCGAAGCAGCCATCGGCAGAGGACAAGGGAGTGACCGCTGGGCCTTCTGGAGGAGGGGAGGAGTCCAGCCTGTGGGGACATGGCCGAACACAGCTGGCCTCCCAGGCCGAGGCTGGCCCACAGATCAGCCTGGCCACCCAGACGCAGCTGGGCCCGCATCCCAACAGCAGCTCAGGAGAGAGGCTGTGAGGTGCTTGGTATTGGGGCACAGTACAGAGAAGACAGGCTGTGCAGCCAGGCAGACAGGGTGTGAACTGAGGCTTTCCCACTAGCTGTGCCGTCGCTCTGGGTCTATTTCTCTGAAAAAGGAAGATGATCCCCTTTTCTATGGCTGTGAACGTTAAATGAGATAACATACATTTACGTGCAATGCCTGACACAGTCACGCTTAAGATACGGTAGTTCCCTCTCAACTTGCTAGAACAGTAAACAAGTTTTTGAGGAGAAGGCCCCACATTTTGCGAATCAATTAGAGTCAGGTGGCTGACCTGAGTCTGATCTGTAACACCTGCTGAGTTCACCATCCGGTGACGCTGAGAGTAGACGGACTAATGCCGCTGCTTGCCTGTCCTGTGTGGACGTGTGTGTCAGTCTCTGCGTCTTAGGTCTCTGCCTCGGTAGTAAATGCTGCAGAACAGGGAGTGGACATTACTCCTCTTATGCGGCCCGAAGGCGCTGGCTCCCACAGTGTCCTGCTCCCAGAAGGGCTTGGGGAGATCTAGGTTCCAGAGTCAGCTCGTTCTTTCTTCTCAGTGTGCAGGGGCCACTGTGCGTTTGCGAGGGCGGGGATGTCCTGAAGCTGCCCCCACGCTCATCTGATCACTGAGTCTCTCTGTTTTCACTGTTGCTTTGGAGAGCAACCCTGAGACTGGTTGTGGGGAGATGCAGCTCCCTTTTAGGAAAGAGGGTAGAAAAGGTGCAAAAAGGGCAAAAAATCAATATAGGGATGTTCTCATTCTAGTGCAGTGGGGACCACAAATATGTCGACTGGTTCACTGGAAATGCTGGTTAAAGAAAGAAACAACCCACTGAAAAGACACATTTTTACTTCAGTTTAAAATATATACATTTATTTATTTTAAAAGACATACATATATTTTATATGGAACCAAGATCTTTTTCTAATGAAAATTTGTCATTTTACTTGCATGAACCTCTCCTGTAATATAACATCTATAAATTCCATCTTTATTTAAAATGGAATAAGAATTTTGACATTTGGGAAGTAGTCTAGCTGCCGGATCTTCCTAGATTTTTATTGGGTATTCCAGTTTCTTAGCATCTGCCTCGCTGCACCTTACTGTGTGGTGTTTCTAATCGAATTTGAGTCATGAGTCTTTCCAGAGCATTCCATTTAGGGTTTTTTGGGGTGTGTGTGTGTACGTGTGTGTGTGGTGGTGTTTTTTCTTAGTAACAATAACTCTTTCTTTTTGCACTCATATTTCATTGATTTGCAGAATGGTTGATTACATTGCATGGTTACACCAGCACATGTAACGGGCACACACCAATTTCGTACAAACGCCGCTGACTTCCTGATAAGCAGATAAATTCGCCAATGAACAGCCTGCAAAGCAGCCTGTGTATCTCGAGCTTGCAGGGCAGCGTGGGGCGCGGTTCTGCTGGTTTGCAGCAGACATTGGGGGGGGGGGGGGGGGGGCCTTGTACAACCTGAAATGCGGCTAACAGAGATCAGGTCTCAGAATCTCTGTAGCAAATGCTGGTTCCCTGCTGTCTTCTTTCTCGGGCGGAAGTCAGTTCTCTCTGACCTGTGTTGTCCTATTGTGGCCACTGGTCCGTGGCATTAGCAGCTACGGAAATGTATTCCGATGATAGGATGCTCCTGGGATGGGGACTACGCCCTGGCCTTTTTGCTGTTAGGATGGTGTCATCCATTAGCTGCCGCGCTACTGGTCCCTGAAGCACCCAGTGATATTTCTTGCTATTGCGTTTTGGCTGGAAGAGGCTAGACTCCTGCTGGAAGCAGTGGCTCCCTAGAAAGCCAGAGGGGGTGAGAAACCGGCAGAGGGCCCGCTGGGGGGGGGGGGGGGAGGCTGCACTTCCTCCCCAGCTCTGGCCTGTCCCCCTGCCCTGCCAGGTGATTCCGCTCATTTCCACCCAAAATATGGCTGTTTTCTGGGTTGTAGCCCACCCCCCACCCCCCGCCCAGCACATGAGCAGCTTTACAGAATGTTCTGTGTGGGAAGAGGGGGAAACCAGCCCCAGCAGGCCCCCCACCATAGAAGGAGCCACCTGGCATTGGCCACCACAGTGCGCCAGGCCTCTGCTAGCATCTTCACGCATCGTCTCAGGACCCCCAGCCCCGTAGGAGGTGGGCACCGCCATTATCCACATTTTACAAATAATGAAACTAGTCTCAAGGAAGGCACCACATGCCCCATGGCCCCGCAGGATTTGAACCCAGGTCTGTGTAACTCAAGGCTCTGCTTTCTTGCCCACTGGGCTGTACAGCTTCCACAGTGACCCAGGAACCCACGGTATCTCTGAGCTCCCAGCAGGTGAAGCAAGGGGACCCCAGCTTTCAGCTGAGGCACAGAGCCTGGTCTGGGAGAGGCGTGGGGTTTTATATGCCCCGCCCTAGTGCCAGATCCCCAGAGGCTGCCCTGTAGTCCCTTCCTGTCTTCTCCCTTCCCATCCATCACATTCGCAAGCCTGGTCAGCACCCAGCCAGGGCCACAGTCTACTCTGCTGGCTGCTGTCCACCCCCACATCTTGTGGGGGGAAGCTC